ACCCAAGGGGAAAGGAGAAGGATGCATTTTTACAGGTGACTTTTTATGCTTTGTTTTTGTACCCAATAAAACTTTCCCAAGCACAACTGCTGAGCACCTCCAGTGGCCTTGAAACTCATTTGGTGAAAGTACTCTGCACCCCTGAAAGTAATTAACTGGAGTGATTAGAAAGGAATGCAATGCTCCATCATCTTCATTTGCTTCTTTCTTTGTTTTGTTTGAATAGAGAAGAAAAAGACCTACCTCAAGGTCTTCCAGTGTGATTTCACATCCTCCTCCTGCTGCTGAAAAGAGGCAAGGGCTATGGGTGAATTCTAAGCTGATTTTTTAACAAAAATATAATTTAGTGTACACGTTGATGTATTAATTAAATAAACCCTCAATTGCTTCCCTTTCCGTTATCTTTTGTAACACATTTTGCATTCCCATCCCCAGCGGCTGAGTTTCAAATGCCCACCCTGTAAAACTCTATCAAGGAGATCAGCAAGATGAGCAGACATTCACTTCCTTCTGGGACAGTGAAAGAGGGAACACACATTAACCTGGCCATGACAAGAGCAGAACAAAATTTGCCTTTCTGAGGTAGAGAATGATCCAGTAGGAAAGAAACTGTCAGAGTGGGTCGGAAGGACATTTCTCACGCCCTGACATGCGCATGACAAAGTTTCTTTTTCTAGCACCTTTCCCAAGACGATTGGCCCCTCAGAGACACGAGGCTGCAAGTTATGAGTCTAATTCTGCCAGCAATGAGAATGTTCCCAAGGACAGGAAAATCTCCTGCTGGGGAAGCGCTCAGATCCTTCAACACAGCCCAAAGGAGATGCAAGAAACTGCAGGTGTTTCTCCAGTGTGAGAAGCTCCACTGTGGAGGCAGCAGGAGATTTACTGGCCAGAAACCCACACATCAGTAAGATTCTAGTTGAGATCTGGTCCATGTTTCAGCTCCCATGTGCCATAAGCAAGATAGCAGAGACAGATGAAGTTTTCACCATCCCTGTTTGAAAACCATGGAGATGCAGCTCTGAGGAACATGATTAGTGGGCATGGTGGGATGGGTTGGGGTTGGACTTAATGGTCTTAGTGGCCTTTTCTAACCTTCATGATTGTGTGATTCTATCAGGCTTCCTGTCAGACCCAGTTCTAACACATTCAAGACTCAGAGAAACCCAATGCCATCTTTGTATCTCTTTTATATTTAGGTGAAATGGCTGTCAAGGACCTACAGCGCCTCGGACATGACTGAGATTTTGTGGCGTCAGGTGCTATGGAAGGCCAACCCCTGTGTGGGTGATTATCGTCCCTTCTCTTTCTCCCACATGTTCAAACACAGAGGCATGGGTTGATGGGTTTGAGGCAGAAAGCTGTGTATATGGACATGGAGAAACTCCCCAGTCCAGATGTTAATTGCATCTGGGTTGAATGACACAGCAGCTTATTGATATCATTTTCTCCTTTTCTACATGCAGTTGAACAGTGGCAGCCTGTGATTATTTTAACTGACTGATGCACAAGGAAATCCTTTCATTATAGGGAAGAACTGCATCTGAGGGAGTGAGTTTAGAAACACAGAGACATGAGTGCAGCATTCCTGCATCTTCCAAACAGCACAGAAGGAAGGGAGGTGTTGGGGAGAAACCAGGAGGGGACATTAAGGAGGGATTAGTGCTCCGCTGAAACAGCAAACAGAATTAAAATGGAAATACAGAGAGAGGTTGAAAAGTCAGCTGCTAAATGCTCTGCAAGTGAATGCTGTTAAATATTTAAATTTCACAATCAAGCACATTTTCGTTTATTAAAAAAAAAAAAAGAAAGAAAGAAAGAAAGAAATGCCCGGGAGGACTCTGAGTCTGAGTCATTAAGCAGGGTAATGACATTTCCACCTCTTCCCTCTATAAATAATTAGAAGTGAGTTATGTGCAATGGAGGAATAGCGCTGCGATTGTGCAGGTATGGGATGGATTGGCCCAGCCCACCAGGCTCCATGTCATCCCCCACAGCTCAAAACAGGGCACCAAGCTCAGGGATGTTCTAACTGCCAGGAAAGGGGTTCCACCTCCACCAGTATTCCCCAGTAACTACCAAAGAGCTGTTAGTTGTGCCAGGCTGCTGAGAGGTGATGGGGACACACACCTATCGGCGTGGCTTTCTGCTCTTCCAATGGTCGTCATTCATCTCAGCTGAGAATGGAAGTATGAATACATGTAAAAATGAGTTAATCTTGTATCTTGTTTCAATATTTTCTATTACAACAAAACACCGGGGGCTGACCTGAAATTTGTTTTCTTGTTTTATTTTCTCACCATTTCCCAGTGGAGTCTTCAGCAGAGCCAACAGGATCCAGCAGGCACAGCCGAGGAGCTGTTTTTTTCACTCAGCTCAGCTGTTAACTTGAAATGGTTGTTCTGAGGTACTACGAAAGGCCCCTCATTTTTGGTATTCAGAAGTTTCCACAAACACCAAGCCACTTCCAAGCCTTTTGAAGCAAAGCTGAGCTTTGCAGAATCAAACTGGAGCAGATCCACCAGCCCTCACCCACTGCGGCTGTTAAGAAGAGCTGAGCCTTCTCCCACTTCCAACAAAAGCCATAGCGACATCAGTATGAGCAAACACTAAAATGAGATTGCCTATAAACAGTGAATTCCTCAACACAGACTCCATCCAAATCATCATTTAAATACGAATTTCCAAACTTATCTCCTGCCAAAAAATAAATGCATTTAAACAGTCCTGAGCTGTGTGTACTATAACACCTTATTTGCCCATTCTAATGGGCCTGGAAAGGAGATAAAACTCTCAGAGAGCATTCCAAATTTCTCTTCCATGCTGATATTTACAAAGATCTGAATCAAAGGAGGGAGAAAGGGTAGAAAAGTGGTTTCTGCTTTGAAGCTTTGAACACTTAGGGTTAGATCAGATAAAGGGCTTGAGCAGAGGGGTGGTTAGCAGCTCTGGACTTTCATCTCTCAATCCTACCTAACTGCTGCTGAACCCTAGAAGTGCCTGAGCTCTGAATCACACTGTTTGACATGAAGGTATTTTAAGCATGGATTTATGTCCAAAAGTTTGGCTCTAGCCTCTCTGCTAGCTTCCACCCATGGTTTTAGGGACTCAGGTGGTTGCTGTGCAGTGCAAAGCCAGTGAAAGCAAATCACTTGTTCAGGGTTTTGCACGGAAAGCTCCCATGGAACTATGTCCATGGCTTTTGGAAGTCCTGAATTTTGGAACTGTCTTTTGAAAACCCCGCTCTGTGTCCTTCTGTAATAAAGCTCTCTCCAAGTAGGCTTGTGCCTTGAGACATTGAGTGGGAGGAGGGCTGGAAGGAGAAATCAAGGCTGGGAGACCCCGTGCTGCTAGTTCTGAATCATTCATGGAGCCCAGTTTTCTGTTCTTCCCATTTCCACATAATTTGTTGGGAGCTCAGTGAGCAGAACTACAAAAAGCATCCTTCTGCCCTGGAGGGAGAACAGCTGGCCAGGCTGTGCACGCATCTCTTCTCCCTCTTACATGGGAAATGCTCCCTTTCTCTCTGACTACACTTCAGGACAGTTCTGTGCACTGACATTATTATTCATGCATGATCCAGAAAATGTTATCTACAGAATAACCGTCTGCATTTAATAAAATTTTCAAAGCTACACTGGTACACCTTTCACATTATTTTGTTCTGAGTGACAGATTAGTAGTGCAGAGGGAACACTCGGTTCCTCTGCTCATCAACACAAAATAAAACCAGGGTGTTTTGCAGGGATCTGGTGGCGCATCAATGAATTTGTTCCAATCTCTTGAGCATGTCTCCCACAGGCAGTATTTTATTTTCCACATGGAAGCAACCTCTCTCTTTGAGATGAACATGCCAGCAATGTAACTGAGCTATCCTGCTTATGATGAGAGAGAACTGCCTGGAGGCATTCCATGCTCTCAATGAAGTAATCAATACAGCAGCATGGATGGCCAAGGACTGTGACACACACATAGGGATGGGTGTGCAACCAGTGCCAATACTTAGCATCAGAGGAGGGATCTGGGGGGAGTTTGTTACACTGCAAGTATATTTGTGTTCAACTGATTTTTTCCCTTTAGTTATCACTTCTATGATCTTAAGGTCCCTTCCAACCCCTATGATTCTGTGAGCCTGCGATCATAGAATGGATTGGGTTGGAAGGGTCCTTAAAAATCACCAAGTCCAGGCCACTGAAAAAAATATGAGACATTTCACAGATTTATGTCCCATTTACTGTCCATTGGCACACCCTCAGGTGTTATTTAATGCTTTGAAATCTACCCGTTTTCTCAGTCCCAGCTCAGTCTAGCCCTGTGCATCTCTCAGGAAGAATCCATCCCATCTGATGGAGCTGGTGGGCTCAGAGCCAGGGAAGTGTCTGTGATCTCAGTGCTGCAACAATGCCTCCTTTGTCAGTGCTTTTTAAGGGAAAAGCTGCTAAAAGAACTCTAATATTGCATGCCATAGGGGAAAGTTTAGAAACACAGCATAATTAGGAGTAGGAAAAGCTTTCTGGTTTCCCTTACATTAGGGATTTGTCACAGCTTGTTTCTCCTGAACCACACAAATTTACTTCCTGGCATTGAGCGAACGGTAGAAAAAGCTTTCCGCAATGAGGCACACATGTGACACCCCAGGGCTCATAAACAACAATTGCTACAGGATAAACCTATTTCCAGGGTCTGCAAACTCCTCCCCCCAGCTGGCAGAGCCCTGATTTTCTATGTTGTGATTCAGATCTTCAGTAAGCTCCTCAGTGTGTTTCATGTGATAAAGACCTATCAGTGAAAACGCAGCAATATGGAAGGTGGGAATAGGAGACCTTTGCAGAGTAATGACAGATCTGCTTGGAATAATTACTTAATGGGATGCATTTGGGCTGTCTGGATCTGCATCAAGCCCACTACCCTTGAAAGCAGCATCAGCTGCACCTCCCTGGGAGCAAGTGGGTGGGTATATAATGGGATGCAGAGGTGTTACATGAGGTTTGCAGGTGGAGCTGGGGGATTTCTTGCAGCCGGAGGAACAGTGCCAGCTCTTAAGTGTGAACCAGGAGGGAGCATGAAGAGGATGAAAGGTCCCTGAAGGGGAAGCCAGGTTGGTGTGGCACCTCTGTGGCTGGAAATGTGGGTGGTGAGGTGTGGGTAAAAACTGCCCTGAGTGGGGGTTTGATTTGCTGGAACACCAGGGTGGGGAAGAGGGGGATTGCAACCCTGAGTGATGTGAGGCTTTGCTCCTGCAGTCGTAAATAAAGATTTGCTCTGATGATTTGGGATTTCTAAGCAAGGGTTGCTAATGATCTATATACAGGCTCAGTGCTGGGGAGTTTCTGCTCACCCAGGGTCCTGACAACCATACTAAAAAAGTATCTGGGAAGTACTTTGCATCTGCAATGCTCTGAGTGTCACTCTCTGGTGGTGCGCACTTCCCTGACACAATGGGTCCCTGCAAATCCCACCAAAAACACTTCAGTGTGTCTATGTGGCTTAGCTTTCAAGCAGTGATATCTCAGCAGCTCTAAAAAAAATAAATTGGGATTTATGAGGGCCATCCCCAAACCTGGGTAGATCACGATTGTACCCAAGTACAACTGTGCTACTGCCCAGGAATGCTGGAGCTGGCCAAACAGGGAGATGCTTACCTGGCTTGCATTTGTGTAAACACTCTATATGTCTTTCCATAGCATATTACTATCTCTCTGCCTTTGAAAACTGGGTGCCTTCACAATCAGATCTTGCTTACCTCGCTCTGAGCATTTTCTTGACTTATAGTCTTCACAAATGCAAGAAGCTTAAATTTTTAAGCATTTGCAACCAGTTTTCCTTCCATCTGCCAGCAACTTGGAGCCAGATGTAACTGGCTCAAAGAGATTGGAGTGTGTTTTTCTGTTCAATATTTGAAAAATGGTTTTGTTCAGGTTGCTGATGGCTCTTTGAGCAGAGTCAATATTTGATGGTGGCTAGTGCTGTGAAAACATGTGCTGGGTTCTAGTTGTGAAAAAATAATTTTATTAAAAGCATGCAAGCTATTAATGTATTAGCTGCTTGCTGGAGGTGTATTTGGTAATGGTCAAAAAAGGCCAATGGCAGAAGTAAGAAAAATAGCAGCTCGTAGAGACCTGAACTGCCTGGCAATCACTATGAATCTTCCATGTTGAATGCCAGGGGCCAGTGCCAGTTGTCTGCACACCAGGAGTTCTGTTTGCCGGCTCTAGAAGCTCCTCGTTCATCATCTCCTGCAGATGCTGTCCCTGCAGAGGGTCTGATGCTCTCTGCCTGATGGGCACCAGAGCTCACACAGCTCCAGCATGTGCTCTGTGGTGGGCACTGAGGAATCAGGTTTCTATTATCAGGTTATTATCTTGATGCCCTGAGCCCAAAGTAATCCAAGGAGGCTGATCTGGGTCTGCTGGCAGGATGTAGGTTGGCACAGCATTTCTGCAGTGAGCCTCATACACCTCTAATGCCTTTTTCAGCCTCTCTGCAGTCCCATCTGTCTTGAGGTGGCCGTGCCAAGACCCTGTGGCTATGGCCACCCACGCCTGCGAAGAGCCAAGCAAATGCAGTGCTGGTGCTCCTTCCCTCCCTTCAGGGTCTGGGAAAGCCCTTCTGGCTATTGCACAGGGACTGGTCAGAAGCTGTGAATAATATGGTGCTCTTCCCTTAAAGATGGAATTGCTCTCACACAGAGGTGTGCAGCTTCGTTCTGAATGCCTCCTCTGTAATACCTTAGACAGGCTGTCCTTCTCACAGGTTTTATACTTTTAAGCTGTTCTTAGGATTCCCATGTCTCCTTGTGATGCATCCTAGTTTGGGAACAGTGTACTGCAAGTAAAGATTGTTGGGCTGATATCTTGGGCACTCTTTAGTTCAATTACTGTGATATAATCTGGAAAACACTGAGCAATCCATTCTTTCTCCTCTCTGAACAATCTTATTGCTCTACAAGTCTTTCTCATTTACAACTTCAGAACAGTTTACTGCAGCTTGGGCTTAATACTGCATTAAATGAAGTTCAAAGGTGGAGAAAATGCTAAACGAAGCCTAATCCCTTCCTAGCATATATAAATATTTCTAAGTAGCTCAGTATTTGCAGCAAATTGCTTCCCTGGAGACACTCTCCTGGACTATAACCACATATACATTTCAAAGTCTTTAATATTGACTGAGCACTGGAAGAGGAAACTGATAATGAGCTGGGGAATATCGTGACACTGAGACTGAATCTGCATGGATGCTGCCAGAGTGAGCCTCTCTAGCCACTGGCCCAGATCTGTGGTGTAACAAGAAATCCATGGTGTATCATGATGAAGGTGCCCAGTGTGGCTCATTCCAGGGTGCAGTGACACTGGCACCTGCCTTTGTCATCTGGCTGGAGTGGATGAAACGTGACTAGTGGGGTTGCTTGGACTGATCTAACATGATAGATTGCCTGAGGGTGAGATGGGAGAAAATCGCTTACAAAAGCTTCTTTGGTATCTTTGTAATGCGTTCTGCTCTAATGATTACAGCAGCTGCTTGCTTGTAGTGTTATTTCCACGTGAAATGGGGACGATGTTGCTCAGCCCAGGAGCAGGCTCGCTCCTCAGCAGACAGAACTTTGTTAACCTTTGCTTAAATCCTCTCTCAAGCTGTTTTGCTCTTTGTTTTGGAAAGCAGCAACGTTTTGCAGTGGTAGAAGGACTGGTAACATGGATCATGGTGCTGGAGGAGGGTGAGCTGCTTCCCAAGGCACAGGGGATCAGAGCCACAAGTCCTGTGTGTGCAGAAGGAGCAGCTGCAGGAGGATGGCACAGGGACAGGGCTCAGTGATGAGCAGTGCTATAGCAGTGGAGCTAATGATGCTTCAGAGATTGGTGTATGCTGAACTGAGGTTGAACTAGAAGAACTGTTCTCAAGAAGGCTTTGTCTGAAAAGTGACAGTGGCTGGAGTCATTCACAGCCCTGCTGAGGAACGAGGATCCAGTATGTCTAACGCTGAGCTGTGAAACACTGACTGGAGCTGACTTTGTGACTGTGCTTTCTTTTCTTCTGGGGCTGCTTCTGATACTCACTGTCAGGATGCATGAGGGTTTCCACGTGCTGGAGGCATTAGGGGCCTGTGCCAGGAGTGCTGAGATCCTCCTGATACAGAACTGGCTGCACGGAGGTCTGCTTTGCTTTCCAGGCAGGAAAATAGCACTGCAAGGACGCACTGGGGGGCACAAACCTCTTTACACCCACAGTGCTGAATGCTCTCTGCAATTGACTTTGAATAAAGCTCTTTGAACCAATTCCACATAAGCTGTGAGAGAACTTCATTATGAAAAATCTTTGTTTGCTCTGGAATAACTGAGAGTTTGGGGTACTATTTTTGCTTGCAGTGTTTGTGATCAGCTCTCAGCCTCTGTAAATGCCTCCATGGGAGCAATGTGCTTTTTTTTTTTTTTCTTTCTTTTTTGTCATACTGTGTGAAACCACAGTGTGCTGAACACCTTGCCTTTGTGCCCTTGAGAAACAAAGCAGCAGCCCTAGGCTGGCATGAACATACCTCTCCTGCCCATCCCGGTGGGATGTCCTCATCAGTCCTTCCTGCTGATGGAGACTGCCTGGGTCCTGCTTGCTCAACTGGGGAACCTCCATCAGCCAGGGTGAAAAGCCACAGCTGGATGTGCCCACTTTACCTTTGGCTCCTTTTTAGACCCGATGCTGACATTAGGAAGGACGCAATGCTCCTTGTCCGAGGTGAATGGCGATGTCTCACAGCTATGTCTGGTAAAGGCTTGCTTTGTAGAGACGCGAGACATGGCTGTAAGCTGGTCTAGCCACTAGCCTTAGTAGTGATTAATCTGTAAGACTGATACATGGTTTTTATTCTTTCCATTTTAAAGTTTCTCAGACTACAAAGGAATCTGAAAGGATTTGATAGCTGAGGCTTTTCTTGTCGCAAGAACAAAGGGTAAGTAGCTATCTCTTTCAGCAGCCTAGAGAGGCTTCTAGCCAAGGCTGAGAGATTAAGAGAAGCTACCTGGCAGGCAAGTTGGCTTTTAAAGGGAAAAACAGGCTTTTAAGCTTTTGAGACAAGGGAGAGCTGAGCTGAACACACAGGGAGCAGCGAGGGAAGCAGAGGTGTTTTATATGCTCTCCTGGTTGCAAGGGTAATGGAGTAGGAAAGAATTAGCAAAACCCCTTTGTTTTGCTTTTTGGACCCTTGTAGCATAACAAGTAAATGTTATGTAGTACAGGCATGTTTTAATTGCTCTTGATTGCTTCCGACTCACTTGCTGTCTCAGCTGTTTCAGCTGCAATGAGGAGTTTACCTCTGTAAGCGACCTCAGAGTTTCCTCTGCCTTCACCTTCATTAGTGCATAAATATTTCAGAGGTGAGCACAAAGCCCAGGTATCCTACAGCTGCGGCGATGGATATAAGCTCAGAAGTGCCTGAGTAACTTTTCTATAAGCCCCATTTACTTTGAGCTGTCTGTGTGCTGCAGAGTCACTTGGTGCCCTCAGAGCTTGGTGCAGTGATGTCTGTGCACAAGGTCAGAGGGAGCTGCAGCTCTCAGAGATGGCTGCCTCTGGAGGGGGAAACAGAAGTTGTTCAACTTGGTTGTAGCAAATACTCTGTGATTCTGCAAGGTCTGAACACCTCAGGCTGTGCCTGGGATGGACTCCCCTTTCAGGTGTGTGATTGCTATGGGAGCATCCTGGCTTTGCAGCACTGTCAGTCTGCAGCATCTCTAGAACTGCTGTGTGGCTTGGCTGGCCAAGCAGGAAAGCTGGCCTTACTTGGGAAATCTTTCTGCCCTTTCTTACTGTGTGTGCTTGGTTTCACCTGACTCTAAGCAGCCCCAGTGAGCTGCTGTGAGGGGTTAAGGCACTTTCCTCCCGCTGATTTTCCTCTGGTAGGAGAGCACAGGGAAGCTGCAGCAGTTCAAATGCAGTAAGCTGTGTACTTCTGCTGTTCAGTCACCTTCCAGGTTACTTTTCCTCCTTCCTCTGCTGCCCTGGGCACTGGAGCAGGGAATGGAGAAATGCAGCTGTGCCTTCCCTGGCTGCCATCTCTCACTTCTGGGTTACTTCCACTGTGGCCAGAGGGAAGTACACAGCAGGAAAGTG